TCTTATGGCTAGTTCCTACAGATGAATCTAAAACAATGAAATTAGAATATAAGAGAGTCAAGCTCCCAAACACTGTTCTTACCTGCTTAAGCTGCTAATTTTTTCACCGATTTAGTGGGACTTTACTCCATGCAAATTCGCACATCTTGAAAAACATCTTCGGTTATTACTGTGGGCCTTCCAGACTGCTTTCCTTTACAAATGCAATTTTTCGTTTCAAAACGTTGAACAAAAATGTGTCTGTGATGACGAAAACTATCATATTCTATTTGTACAGCTGGAAAACGTTTCTCAAATTGTTGAATGCAACTCCAAATTGAATATGACCAAGTTGTATCATCATTTTAAGATCTAATTCTAAAATGTGTCATTAAAATAAAAGAATCTTGTGCCGGTGTAAACATTTTGAGCTGAAAATTATATTGTCAATAAACTTGTATAAAAGTAAACAAATTTACACTTACCGATAGAAAAGAATAAAGGCACTAATGAGCTCTAAAAAGAACTGATTGGTTTATTATTATTTGAGGAAAAATTGAATAATAGCGTGTTGACAAAATGCAAAAAATCAATAACCTTTAAATAATATAAATATACCCAAAAACCCAAATGAACGCTAATGATATTTTTGACACTGTTGACAACGACAGGTGACATATAAGGAACAAAATGAGGCTGTTTCGCTGTGTTTTTGATGTTACCAGATCACGTGGGTTTTGGGTATTGTTGAAGACCTGGTAGTTATGTTTTTTAATTGATGAAGTAAAAACAACTTTTTTTTTAATTGTCCAATATGGCTAGACCAGTTTGACTTATTGTCTACAGTAAAACCTAACAACTTTACAGTTTTAGGATCTGGTATTGGTGCACGCAGCGACACATCCATGTTCTGTGATTTATCTTGATTTAGTTCAAGTCTATTTGTTGCAAGCCAATAACTTGCTACTTCTTTTAGTTCATTGGTTATGCTAGATAGTTATGAGTAGCTGTCACTTGAATAGATTAACGTAGCATCATCAGCAAATAATATACTATGATTAGGTTTCATGAAATTGCATACATCATTCATGTATATGATAAAGAGTAACGGTCCCAGAACTGATCATTGCGGAACTCCTGCATTTATAGGGTTTAAATTTGACCGGCTATTATTATAAAATATACTTTGAAACCGATTACTGAGATATGATTTAAAAAGGTGCAACGCAGTTCCTCTAACTCCATAGTAATTAAGCTTTTCAAAGAGGATATCGTGTGACACACAGTCAAACACCTTTGACAAGTCGCACAGTGTAACTCCCACAAACTTTCCGTTTTCAATGCCATCAACCATGTAATCAACTGCATACATTGCAGCATCAGACGTTGATCGCTTTGAACGAAAACCAAATTGATGGACAAAAATAAAAAATATTTAATTCAAAGTAATGAAACAGTCTAATTGTAATAAGTTTTTTAATAATTTTAAAAATTGAAATCGGACGGTAGTTATCAATGGCTGACTTTTCACCTTTTTTTGTGTAGATGAATAACTTTTGCAAATTTAAATATATCTGGAAAAATACCAATAAAAACAATGTTATTGATTAACATTGTCAGAAAGTCTAATATAATTTCAATAGTTTCTTTTATAGGTTTGGCATTAATCCCATGAATATCTGCACATGGCGAATTTTTAACAATTCTGACAACGCCAAGAACTTCTTCTTTTGTAACTGGAAAAAAAAATGATTAGCAGGGAGCTGGAAATTTTTTAAACTATAATAAATCATTAATTGGTAAAACAGGTATAGACCTAATAATATTCTCCGCCACATTTGAAAAGAAATCGTTGAAGTCATTTGGGGTTAGACTTTCAATACAGTTTTTTTGTTTTGATTTATTTTACAAAGTTTACCAAATGCCAACCTGCTTTGGATTTGTTATCTGCCTAGGCTATATAATTATCAAATGCATTCTTTTTTGCACGTTTAAGTTTATTATTATAGTTTTTTTTTTAAGTTTTTAAAGTTATTAACAACAACTGGGTCTTAAGTACTATCACAGATAGTTTTTAACTTTGACAAAAATCTCTTTGCCCTGTAAGTTCTTTGCTAAACCAATAAACAGGCTGCTTGTTTAAAATACTTTTGCTCTTCTGTATCGAAAAATGTCTTTCAATAAGATCTGTAAATAAAATTACCAAAAAAGTAGGTAAAAGGTCAAAGAATCCCCAATTTTCAATTGAGAAAAAGATCATTTCCGTATGCCATAGTTGGAAATAACCCTAGTTAATGTTAATTTATGGGGACTTAGTTATAACTGAGGTTTTTAGAAACAAATACTGCCATGAATGATTAGAAAACAGAGGGTCATAAACACCTACTTTATAAAAAGCCTTATTTAAATTTGTCATAATATTATCCAAGCAACTAGACTGTGTAGATGTGATCCTAGTATATTCATCGATAATTATTGAAAGTCTGTAAGAACTCAACAAGTACTTTAAATCATTTAGAAAGGTATATTCTTCCTTAAAGTAAAAATTTAAATCACCTAAAACGATAATTGATTGCGAGGAATTTACAAAATGATCAAAAGACATTTAAAATTTCGTAGAAAAACTCGGTGATTTATTCTTTCCATAAAGGGCTACGATATGATTGAGAAAATCGACAAAAAAAGATGTTTCCGGTAAGTTTGATCTAAAATAAATACCACAAATTATGCGGAGAAAACTTTAACCACTCAGACGTTAAATGAGTTGCAACAAAATTTATGCTTTCACCATATATGAATGACATTTTCAAACACATTAAAATATATCTCGAACTTTGTTGGACAAATAGACATCAGAACATAACCTACTTAGCCAAGTTAAATTTTTTAATAAAATAAGAAAAAGATTATGTTAACAACAATGACATATTAACCAATTTATCACCACAGCTCTGACCTGACTCGTCAAACAATTTAAGACTGAGGGTCTAGCTGTCACAAGGTGGTACGATCGTACATTTGGCTGAAGTTTTGTGAAAAAAGCTGTTTTTTAGCCACCACATTGGTATAAAATATTTTTTAAACCATACTTAAAGTGACGTCATGAATTAATAGATGGCAAAAATAGTGTGTTTTAAAAATATAATCTGCTGTCATATGACAAAATTTTTAATTAGGTATTCTGATTTCGATCGTATTTTTTTACTGATTGTTAAATCAGATGAAGGAAGATGAGTGTTTGATAGTGATTTTAAATAAAAATTGAAGTGTTTTTAAGAGGTACATTGCAATCTGAAACGTTGTTTATTATTTTATTTTTGGTATTTTTCTTTTTAATAAACATGGCATCATATTTATTCCGTAGCTCCACAGATACGCGATTGTCTAACGATTATTTGCTATAGATTTGTTGGGCTTTTCCAAAGTTCATCAACTGCCAAAGAACGTTTAATTGCTTTTAAATATTTGCTGGCAAATTCAGAATCTGAAGCAAACTCCGTAATTATTTTTGTAAAAAACGTACAATTGATAAGTAATCCTTTAACCTTATTTTAATTGAATTACTGTTTCATTATCAAGAGTAACCCGTAGGTACATCACATCGTCCAACTGTTTATGATGACCATAAATATTAATATTTCTATTAAAACTAATGTATGAATATGAATCACATAATATATGTATGAAGTTATCAAAAATCAATAAAAATCAACAAAACGTCAAATATATCAAAATGTTCAAAGATGGAACAGAGCAAAACAACATACAACAACCACAATCAGAATCTCTTATGTGTCAACCGTTATTGAACCATATGCCTCCGACTGGTTCAAAAATTCTAGCTTTGGTTTAAAATATTTCGTACGCGACGTCATAGTTGTATCGCTAAAATTTAAACGGTTTAAAACAGTCGAAAATATTTTAAACCAGACACTCGCTAAAAAATACCTTTGGTAAGCGGAAACAATAGGAAGTGTCAACTGAAATGATTTATTTAAAAATCCCTACAAACGAGTCGCCAGACAACTCAAAGTTGTAAAAATTATTTGATCAGATAACTAACTTGACATGCCTTGTTAGCTTAGTTTAAACATTGAACAATCAGTCAAATTCATTGTAAATCCAACCGCGTTATGAAATGCAAATTTTCCTGCTGGTTCAATACATAACAAACTAAGCTAAGGAGGCAAATTATAAAAAATAAAAAACTCAACTAATTTACCTATTATGTACGGCCCAGGGTCATCGCTGCTTGCTCCGTAAAAACAAATATACAAAAAATTAAATAAAAAAATTAAATAACGTACCTAACTTACTTAACTTGTGAGAGAGCAATTAGTTAAATTTTAATAGAACTGGTTAGGTAAATAAGTTAAGTTTTTCTAATTTTTCTCATTTTTTATAAATTTTTTGCGAGGCAGATCGCGACTGCTCCAGGCCTCACAGGTTAAGTAAGTTGGCTATGATTTTTTTATTGTTTTTTGTATAATGTTTTTTGCGAAGTAACCTTCGAGGGCTCTAGGCCGTACAAGTTAAGTAAAATAACTAACCTAACTTGTGCGAAAGCAATCAGTTAAATTTAAAAAGCACAGGTTAGGGGCCATCCATAAATTACGTCACACAAATTTTATGATTTTTTGACCCATCCCCGTCCTAGTCACAGCTGGTCACATTTGTGAGACTCCCCCCTCCTAGTGTGATGTCACATATTTTGCAATTTTACATCTAGAAATTATAAAATTAAAACTAAGAGGCGCCATTCGTCCTTCCATTCTGTTGAAAGCATTTCTTCCGGGAGCAATGTAAATAGCATCCAAGTAAAAAAAATTAAAATGTTGTATAGCTGAAACTATAACTCGCTCGTATAGTGATTTTCGTCGGGACCACCATCGCAAGTAAAAATAAATACATGTTTTACAAAACGTTCTCGAGTTCTCATAAAGTGTTTGAAAGCAGGTGTTTCAGAAAGTCTATGTATGTCTGTGGCATGAGTCTCTGCATTAGAGGAATAATGCTTTCCACTACGTATGTGTCACAGCTTCAGGTTTCCCTTCACCATCTTTCTTTATTACAATACCTGCATAAACAGAAGAAATAAGTTTATGTTTTACCGCGACCTCGAAATCATGATCCGGTAATTTTACACGATAATCAAGATGCATTAATATTGGTACTTGATCATTTGCTGCTATAATACCTAAAGCCACGCGTGCTTTGTCATCCATTGATAAAAAGAAAACTTGTTTAGGGCCCAAAATTAAAGCTAAAAATTCAAGGTTTCTTATCGTAGCAATACAGAATGTCTTATCTTTTAGTTTTAAATGTAGCGTAGAATCTGGTTTGCATAGTTTAACAGGAACAGTTACGACGTGTCTCTTTCCTTCCTCTGTATTGACTTGTCTGGGAAGAAGTCTTAAGTATAACCCTGATCGACTGATACTATATCTCTGTTTACAAAATTCGGCTTGTAAATCGTCCAATCTTTTGCAGCACCTTATAAATTTAGTGCGACGTCGTTTATCAGCTGCGGCACCAAAAACTGTAATATCCTTTATGATCTCAAATATACCGCATTGGTTTTCTTCTACTCTACGCTGACCAATAGTATCTTGAAGTTTTAGAGCTGATGCTAAGTCGGTAATATTTTTACAAAGTTTTTTACAAATGTGACGTTACGAAATGTAAGACCCCTCCCACCCTTGTCACACAATGTCACACTTCGTCGACCCCTCCCCTCTCTTAACATGTGACGTAATTTATGGATGACCTCTTAGATAAATTAGGCTCCAGGCCGCTCAGGTTAGGTATGTTTATTAGATTTTTTATAAAAAGGAACTCAAAATAATTTACCTAAATGGTCCCATCGGGAGACAACTCAACCTTATTGAAATACATATTTTGTGCGAATTAATCACAATTCTTTAATCTCAATGAAGATAAATAGCCATTAGTACCTAATTTAATAGTTTCTCCGGTAGTAGGGATTAGTTGGATGGTTGCATGTTGTCGTTTGAATTTTTTTATATTTTACCCTTTTTAATGTTGATTTTCGATATATTGTCCTTTCGATCTAATGAATTTTCGATCTATTGTCTCTTCGATAAAATGTTATTCGATAAAATATATCGTCGATCAAATGTTATTCGATCAAATGTATTTTCAGTAGTAATACTATAAGTACTTCGAAATAATCAGGTTATACATCGATAACTTGTTGCATAATTATAAAAAGTGTCAGTTTGACAGTTTATTCTGTCAAACTGACACGATTTGTAATTATGCAGGAAGTTTGAGATGTATAACCGTATTTATTTTGAAGTACGTATTGAATTTGATACGATTATTTTTTGAGTAAATTAAGTAAATATCAACAATTTATTAATTTAAATACATATTGGTACAATGAAAATTACAATTATTAATTATTGATAAACGTCAAAATTTGACGGTCCTGTTAGTTAGTGTATTGTTGTCGATGTGGTTACTACGGAAATGAAATTATTGTAAATATTTTTGATTGGTGGAGCTACTCTATGTATAATCAGGTATTATCGAAATTATACGAGGTAATATAACTAAATTGAACGTTCTAATTGGTTAAAAGTTATACGAAAAAATTAATCGATAAAATTCCATTCGTTAAAATGTGTTTTTGATCAATTTTCTAATTCAATCAATTTTGTGCCACCCATGTGTGATGTATATTTCAACAAAAAATAATAACTTTGAGTCGTCTTAAATCTCATTTGCATGGATTCTTGCAGATGACACCTCCTGATGATCCCGCCTACCACTTCACAAAATTCCAGCCGAACGTACGATCGTACTTCCATGCGGCCGCTTATTCTAAAGAATATTTGTTATATATTCTCACCACAGTGCATAGTTCTTTCGTCATTTTTACTTCAAAAAATGTAAATAGGTAACAAAATAAAATAACTTATGTCTTCATAAATAAACAGTAAACATATGTAACCGTAAGTATAATCTAATTTGAAAAAAATAAATAACAATGTTTATTCAGTTTGGTGTCCAATTTTGTTTTTTGTAAACCTTTTCTCAAGAGTGATAGACAGGCAATTTTCGCTGTAATTCGTCCAATCTAAAAGTTTCCTTTTTAAATGATAAAAGATATCGTTAAAACCCTCATTTCTTATGCATAAATACGTATTACGTTCGTATAAAAAAAATCTGATTTCCTAGAAGTAGGAGGAACATTGGAATTATTTTTGATAATCAAAATTTTAAGGAACAGGGACGTTAAGCAAACAAATGAAACTTCTGGATACTGCGAAAAAAAAAATTAGGTTAACAGGAAAATGTATTTCCAGTTTGTTTTTACAGGCAGTTGTTTTTTCATCACAATCTACTCGAATTCGAAATGTAGAAACTAATTTTTGTCAATGGTTTGCGGCGACAGGGTCGCTTTGTTTGTTCAAAAGTGAAATTTTATCACAAAATATACACTTTGGCAATTTCATAATTATACTTTTATAAATCCCACGAGAAAGTTCGTATGATAAAGGATAATTTAATTAAACAATACTTTTATTTATAAAAGTCCGTGGTATATTATTTAAGCATTCAAAAGCTTTATAAAACAAAACATTTTAATTTTCTTGAGTGATCCTGTGTGTAGATAAAGTTATTATTATTATTATTATTACAAATAAATTAGGGCTGAGGAATGAATCCTATTAAGCCCAAAATTACAAGTTTAATAACAAAGACAATTATTAAAGAAGTAATTAGAAAATAACATATTGCAAATAAAGCACTAAAAATAAACTTTTAGTTTTCTTTAAAAAAGTCATCGAGTCGGTTTTTGAATACATTTACTGACTGTGCGCGAACAACACTCGAGCGTAAATTATTCCAAGTATAGAAAACTCTATTACAAAAAAAGTTTTGTCAGGTACGTGTTTTAAAATTTTCTTTGCTCAACTTATACTCACGTCCACGTAGGTGCTCTTCTGTATTCCGTGGGAGTATACTATAGAGGTTGGATGAAAAAGTACTATGAAGAATTCTGTAGGTCACAATTAAATCACCTCTTAATCTTCTGTGGGAAAATGAACACAAATTCGCCATGTTAAGCCGTTCTTCATACGATGGTCTGATTCTGCTGAAAGGTATTCGAGTAGCGTAGCGTTGAACATTTTCCAATCTTTATTGATCAGAAACCAGATCAGGACACCACGCAGGTCCGACATATTCCATCAACGGTCTAACGTAAGTTGTATAAAGTTTAGAAAATGTTTGAAAGTTCACACGCGTAAAGGACTTTTTTAATAGGTAGAGCATTGGGTTCGAACGTTTACATACCGCTGATATGTGCTCTGACCACGTTAATGAAGAGTTCACAATGAGTCCCAGGTCGTTATAGGAGTTCACAGTTGCTAACGTACTACCGTTTAGATAATAGTTCACGCACGGGTTTTTTCCTATATGCAGGACGACACATTTTTCCGCGTTTAAAGGAAGCAGCCAGGTGTCACACCAGTTTGAAATAGTTTTAAGGTCTTTTTGTAGCTGGGTAGAATCTGTCACAGGATTAGAGTATAGCTTAGTGTCATCAGCATAACACGAAATATTAGAATTTAAGTCTTTGCCTAGATCTGCAGCGTATACCAAAAATAGTAATGGCCCTATGACAGAGCCTTGAGGGACACCACTTAGAACTGGATACTCTGACGAGAACATCTGTCCAACTTTTACCTTGAAGATGCGATTTGACAAAAAATCACTTATCCAGAGAAGTAAAGAGCCGCGAATGCCAGCTTTTTCCAACTCATAAAGCAATCTCTTTTTGGGAACACGATCGAAGGCTTTAGCGAAATCAAGATATACGACATCGACAGGTTAAATAGTAATGGTAGAAAAGAGAAAAGTGAATAGGATTTCCAGATGTAGCTTAGGTATTTAGAGTGTTAGGAACGCAACTCGTTTTATTTTTGGCAAAATTTACACCAACCGTTCTTAAACCACAGGTCCTTAAACCTAAACATAAAATGGGCTGTGAGCAATACTGCCTGTGTAGTCTAAAGAGAGATCACGGGAATTCTGATAGCAACAAAAGAAATCACCACAAATATTATCACTAGAAGGAACATGTTCATCTATACAGATAGCAGATAAGCACAACTCGCTTTGAACAGACCACGAATTTACTCAGGATTAGTACTAGACTAGAATGCCACGAAGCTTTGGTCGAAGTATCTATTAGCAATGCGGTCACCTTAAGATGGATCAAAGGTCACATTGCAAGGTAACTATCGTGCTAATTCACTGGCCAAGATTTTAGCCAACCAAATACTTTTTGGACATGGTCCTTCTATTGGCATGACAAAATCGGTAGTGACATACCTAATTAAAAAACATTCCCTAGTGAAATTTAAGGAAATCTGAGATGAAACAATAAACTGCAGAGTTGCAAGGAAGCTTCTTAGTTATCCTGACAACAATACAGCAAATAAATACTTGACTGTGACCAGACAGAATCTGCGCTTAGTTACGAGCATTCTGACTGGTCATTGCCAAGTACGAAAGCATCTCCGTATTATGGGGTTGTCATAATCCGCTCGATGAGACCATCGAGCATATCCTTAACGATTGCCCAACGCTCTTACTTATTAGAAGATTTGGATTCAAAAAGGGTCGGGGTCGTCTATAGAATATGCCAACAATCCTGCGTCTGCTAAAGCTTTCTTGCAGTTTTCGAATCTGCCTCAGACTCAAGATTCCAATCTACAGGGCGTTAATCATTCTTAGCAGCATTTTTTGATATTTATTAAGCGAAGACTGGTTATTTGCGTTTTTAAGAAATCTTCGTTAAAAGTTTATCATTCCTAGAAAGCGACGCAAATCTTTAACAAATTTTGACTTTAAATAGCTAATTACGACATGTATTCTTTTAGGTACAGGTTGACTGCCGAAATAAAATATTCTAGGTATTGAATTTAAGGTAATCCAAAGAAAATTGTGATGGGCAGTGCTACTCCGTAATTTTGAAGTCGTTTAAAAATCATGTTTAAGTGGTTTAGATATTGTTGCTCAGTTATACCAGCAACAAATATGTAGTCAATGTAAAGCCGGGATCCAACGGCGCGTGGAGCGGCACTCCTCGGCGCGTGGAATGGCAATCATGGGTTGTGAGTTGAGTCTCAACGGTCGGACCGTTCCCACGGCCCATGAGGATCGCGCAGATGTGGACACGCGCCTATTGCAGTCTGTTTTACGAAGGCAGTGTTGGCGATAAAAAATTCATAATTTTGTTTAATTGCACGAAAAGATGAACCGTGAGCGGGCGCGTATCGTTGCTGCCTCAGCCTTTTATTTTATGTTAGGGGTTTACAGGATGGCAAGAGGAAAAAAAATAAAACGAAAACAAAGAAGATGGTGAAGAGTGTCTTTGTATAGAAATCGTGAAAGGTAAGTACATTATAGAATATTTTGCAACAAGTGTTTTAAACTGATTTTCACAAGCGTTATATACTATAATTTTTCTACGACTGCAATTTGGATCAAAAACCAAAAAAATTTTTACACACATTTGGAAAAGGCTTGGAATAATAGACATAGTCTGACAGTTATTAAAAATAAACTTTGGAATAATTTGTAATTTTAATGTTTTTGCTGCAAATAATATAGTTTTCTTTTAATCATTTGTAGGTACAGTGCCACATACATGTTAGAAGATTTACGCCAAGAACCCTCAGGCTATTTTGAAAACTTTTGTCGAAAGGTTTCCGAAAGATTCTCATTAATGTATCTTTTTTTTTCAAATCTGCGATTGAACGCTCATTTGCTCTTCAATTTGACTCCAGGCATCATGTTCCTGTTTTTATGGTTTGGATCCCATGGGTTCCAAATAATCGGCTCGGTTTCATAAAATGATAAAAATTGTAACACCACTTCATTAGACCACTCTATGGTGAAAGTTACCACGGCACTGGTAGTACAACGCTCCTAGCCGAGCCGTTGGAACTGTAAGCACGTATGGCGCGCCAACGTCCGCGCCGCTTTGAACCGTGTTGATTTACCGACAGACGACGGGACTCATCGCGCCGACCGAAGAATGGCAAGCTTGCCCTATCCAACAGAGCGGGAACTGGCAAGTTTGGCGCGTGGAGTGCCGCTCCACGCGCCGTTGGATCCCGGCTTAACAGTAAACAAAATCTAACCCTTGAATGCAACTTTACATAAACCGAAAATCATTTACGGGAACTTAAATAACCCGAATAATGTTGTCACGGCTGTTTTGGGAATATCGTGTTCTGCGATAGGGATTTGGTGATAGGCCAGAATGAGGTCCAGTTTGCTAAGGATCTTCCTATTAACTAGATTACTGAAAAATTCTTAAATATATGAGATAGGATACCTATCTGAAATGGTATGGGCATTTTTTTGTCGGTAGTCTTCAGAAGGCCATCAACTTTCTGGTTGTGACTTAGCAACCATGTGGAGTGAGCTGTCCAACAGCTACTTGAAGGATAACATATACCCTCTTTAATCACGTATTCAAACTCGAGTTTTGCCACTTTTATTTTCTCAGGACATAATTTGCGGGGTATTTCATATAAAGAAGGACAATTAGCCACTATATGGTAAAAAACTGAATGGTTTTCTTTAGGGGAAACAGAAAAGTACTTAAAATCTCAGGGAAGCTGGTTAGTAACTTGTGGAATACATAATTTATGACAATAGAGTTATTAGTGTCATGATAATACTTGATGAATAAGCAAATGAAAGATAATTGAGTTGCTGTATCGATTAATTTGTGATGTTGCAGATCGACCAAAATTATTAAACGAGAAGTATCTGCGATCACAAATTGTCATTTAAGAGATCTGCGAAGTGACAAATCCAAACATAATAATTTATGACCGTAAGTGTTAA